CCCGCGTGCCCGCCGAGACGAGCGGTGACCAAGAGGCGCCTGCAAAGTCCCCCCGGGCTGGCTCGAAGGGCGGCTGGAGGCTCCGCGCTCCGCCGGGCGCTCCGGGACCTTCTCAGCTCCGTCTCGCTCGGTTTCGCCCTCCCGGGGAGCCTCCGCGGGCTCCGGCGGCCTCTTTGCCCCGGGTTGTTGGACTGAGTCAGAGGCTGCTGGGGAGGAGGCGCTGGGAGCGCCGCTGTCCTGCTGTCACCGTCACACTCACGGCCGCGGCACCGCCGCTTTGCGCTCCCCCCTGCCGGAGCGGGACGGCTGCTGGCGCCAGCGGCCGAAATGGGACACGGTTATTTTAGGCCTGTGTCCTCTCCGCTGCCAGGCGCTTTGCCGGTCACGGTTTTGGGTCTAATTGCAGCAGATTTCCCTTTTTCCTCCGCTCGGGGAGGCAGGGCGAGATGCAGCCCGGCCCTGCGCAGCTCTGCTTGCCCTGTGCCAGGTGGAGCGCTCGGCCCCTCCGGCACCCCCTGTTTTCCACCTAACCAGCCTCTAGGCTCTGGATAGTTTGCATATTTTGGTAAAGTTGGGGATTCTTCTAACGAGTTTTCACAGCATCCCTTTGGAAGGGGAAAGGCTGAGGTTGAAACCTGGAGCTGGGGCTGTTTGGAGGTGGCTAAAGGAGCTGAACGTTGTGTCTGGGGCTGGGCGTCCGCGGGCAGAACCCGGAGCCGGGTTCTCTTTTCCCCGGGTTTGCGGATGGCCCTGGGGGTGCCGGTTATCAGCTGGGGGCTGCGATCCGACCGCTCACGGCCCCGGGTCCCCCGGGAGAGCGGCCGGGCTGCGTTGGCGGCTCCCCTCGCTGGAGCACCGCGGGCAGGATAGGGAGCGGAGAGAGCATGGAGCGTGCGTGGAGCGAGGGGGAAGCGTGCGTGGAGCGAGTGCAGAGCGAGCGCCCGGCCTGACGCAGCCCCGGGGCCGGGTGGTCCCCCGGCACCCGCTCGCCCCTGAGTCGCCCCTTCTGCTCGCGCCCGGGACGCGCGGTGACATCCCGGTGCCCAGGACCCCTCCAGCAGCGTTTTCCTGCCCGGAGCGCCCTTTGGAGCCCTTGTCCTTTCCTCCCCGTAGGACAGAGCGGTGGAAATCCCGCGGCAGCTGCCCCGGAGCCCCAGCGCCTTCATCCCCGCGGAGGAGGTGAGCGCAGCACGGAGCTCGCGCGTTGGAGGGGACAGGGGTGTCCCCGTGCGTGGGGACTCCCACGCACCGCTCCAAGCACCCCAAGGGGATGGGGACACCGTGTGCTGCAGGGGGGACCCCAGCCGGGTGCCCGAATCCAGCTGCCCTCCCTCGGGGTTCCCCTTCCCGGGGATGCCGGCTCGGGGCCGCAGCCGCTGCAGCGCTCCGTGTCGCGCAGATCCTGCGGGAAGGCGCCGAGCGCGGCCGGCGGCAGCTCTGCCTCGAGGCCCTGGCGGCAGCGGGCAGGGGGGACAACGTGGCCGCGGTCATGGGACTGCACCCGCAGTATCTCAGCAGCTTCTGGAAGACGCAGTGCCTGCTGCTGTGCATGGACGGGCCCCTGCCCTACCACAAGCGCCACTACATCGCCATCATGGTGAGGGACGCGGGGACTGTGCCCGGCGCGGGGTGTCCCCTGGGGATGGGGATGTCCCGGCACCCCCGGCCCCTCAGCCGGGTTGTGGCCTGGGATCAGAGGGGTTTGGGCCTCCCATGTGAAACGTGTCCCCTGCCAGGGCTTGTTTGGCTGAGAAGCCATTAGGCACCATCCCTGTCCCCTTGTCGCCCCATTCCCAATGAGCTGCAGGGGACAACACGGGCGCATGGCTTGTCCTTGCGGCCACATAGGCCATGGAGGTGGCCCTGTGGTCCAGCCTGGGGGCCTCGGCCCCGCTCCTGCAGGACGTGGAGCCCCGGGGTGGCCGCGGGGAGGCTCGGGGAGGGTGGCCCGTGCAGGGCTCGCCGGGCTGAGCGGGGCCGTCGCGCAGGCGGCCG